GACTCGCCGAGTTGTATGAACAACTCATCGAGTCTGTTCTTGTAGGTAAGAAGATTGTCTTGGACTCGCCGAGTGTGTTCTGATAATAGAGTCAGAATTTTGAGTTATATCACAATTTTAAATTAATAATTTGTAATTATGAAATTTTGAGTTATATCAGAATTTTAAAATTTCAATTTCAAATTTCAAAAGCACCATTAAATAATCCTCAAAACTAGGAAACGAATTCTATTTCCTTATTTAGTTTTTCCTCTTGTACCATTTTACCCTTATTGTAATATAAATATATTTTTTAATTTATTTCAATTCAGAAATTACCTAAATTAATGAGAGAAATCTAATTCATCGATTATTTCGATCTAATGGATGATAAATGTTATCACGTTCTCACAATAATCTTTGTTTTCACATGAACTATCCTATATATATATATATATATATATATATATATATATATATATATATATATATTGAACGGCGGAATATTATTAAAATTAACAAGAAGCTAGAAAAAAAATTACATCAAAATAGTTGTTGAAATAGGATTATGAAGCCAAGAAGACCGATTAAGATTGCCTTTTGTACACATATTCGAAATCCAATAAAAAGACTTATAAGCAACATCATCAAAAATCAAGGATTTCCTGGGATTAGCGCTCTAAAAATCATTGCATTTCTGAAATTCCAAATTCACCAAAACGAGATTAAGATCATTGCATCGAACGCTTTACGTTGACCGATTATCGAAGAAAAAGACGTTGCCTAGTTGATAATAGAGTCCAATGTAATCTGAAAAGGAAGACTAACACCCCACCAAACAGCAATACGAAACCATAAAGATATCAAATCATAACACTCTACAACAATATGATCAATATACTCATGTCCACTATCTTCCACACCTATCCATACTTTCCTCAGGAATCGTTCCGGATCCTATAAGTAACTACTCATGTCCACTATCGTCCAATCCAATCACATATACTCGCCATCAAACGAATATACACCGCTAAACAGTGCACCAATTCCTCTAAGGCACTTCCTAGACTCTCCTAGGATTCCTACCTCACCCTGCGACCTGCTGCTAAAGAACCGCTACTAATATCAGCTAACTACTTAATGAATATAATTACATGCAACAAAACTCAAATAAAAGACCCAACCCTACAACGGTTAGATTCAAACGAGAGCTGCACAATAGGGCTAAATCAATAATTCTAGAATTATTTAACCTTTGCAGCATTTAACTTAACATATTCATTTAATAGTTAGCCCACATCAATATGGGTCCCACAAAGCACAAAGCAAGCAACATTCGGGCAGTAATATTCTATAGGCCATAAAAAATAAAAAGGCATCCTCCTACTAACTTGCTTCTGCGATGCTACAAACTTTTACCATCATTGCTAATCTTCCTAGATTCCCCTTCTAGAATCTCTCTTTCGAAAATGCTCACACAAGCACATTATAACATTATTCGTAGGCTTTCCTAGGGTTCCCTTCACACCACTCGCCGCCATCAACTACATAAGAGACACCCTCTAATACTTTCTAACTACCTCACGAATACAATTACATGCCACATGCACTAGATAATTCTTCAACTATAAGGTCTCACACTACAACGGTTGGACTCAAACAAGACATGCGCAATAGAGTTAAACCTAACCTTCTAAAATTATCTAATCCCCGCAACATGTAACCTAACGTATTTGTTTAACAATTACCCGATATTATTGGAGGTCCCTAAAAGCACAAAGCAAGCAACATTCGAACATCGAGTAATCTAAACCAGTACCTCAATTAAATCAGACCATTCTATCAAACAATATCAAATCCATATTAGCATATGAAGTTCCAAAAGCTCAATCAACAAGCATATAAAGGCATCTCTCCTAGCATTCTATCATGCAAATCTTGATTAGATACTTAGCGATAATCTAGCATGAAATTCTCACATACTCATACCAAAACAATAACCATATCACATGTATGAGTATTTTGGGAAAACTTACTTGAGCTCGGCTAATTGCATGCATCGCACCCTTTTTTCTTAGAAAACCCTTTTAGAAAATCATTTTCTTTTAAAAGACTTTAGAACTCCATAGTTTGAGTTTAGAAACACCTAAGAGTGTGCCCGAATCCCTCAACCCAAGGTTTTCATACCAACTTGTAACGTCCCAAAATTTCTGAGTAAAAATTTCACTTTTAAATAAGTTAAGACCATTCATTCATTGTTCCAAAAGACGATCAGAGTCTAGGTAATCACAAAACATTAGAATAATTCATAAACATTTAGTGCGGAAATAATCTCCAGAGGATGCAGTGCGATCAAGCAGGTCTTCATTTGAAAACAGAAGTACCTGAAACCATCAACATAAAACTATAAACACAGAGCTTAGTGAGTTCCCCCAAAATACCACATACCATACATATATAATAGTTCAAAACTAAATTAGGTCTATTTCACCCCCTTTGGTCTCTTTCAACCAGTACTAGGTCTATTTCACCCCGACCGGTCTCTTTCAACTCGTACTAGATCTATTTCACCCATTCGATCTCTTTCACCGGTATTGGGTCTATTTCACCCTTACAGCTAAACATATAATCATATCAGCAAGATTCACCAAGACAACATACACATACAATCATATCAGTCGGTGTCACAAAAACAACTATCATCCTACAAACATAGTGTAGTGGGTCGATATTGGTGCTTTCGACCCATGAGTACAGTGAAGAGACTCACCTGAACTATTCAACAGAAGCCCAACAGCTACCTCAACAACAAAACATCCAACCCAAGCTTCCTAAATCCAAACCGAAACTAATCCTTAGCCAAATGCTCAATTCTACTCAAGTTTGACCAAGAGTCAAACAGGTCAAAAAGTCAACGGTCAAAGTCAAAGTCAAAATTACGAATCAGTAGCCCTCTACATCGTGGCCTTCCTTGGCCATGTCGTGGGCAAAAAATGCCAAAACAGTCGTTAATCCCCCATTTGCCACGTAGGGGGGACTGGTCTGGACAGCTCAAATGAGCTTAATCCATTTTTCATCTGATTCCAAGAGCTCCAAAGCTCAGATATGATCCTTTCCAAGGTCTTAATGTATAAAGTTTTTAACTTTATCCATTAGGAAGGTCCAAACCACCAAAATCTAGACTTTAAGTCTCATAGGGACCCAAAATGCACTTTCTCAACTTAATCCATTAAGTCCAAGTCTTCAATTTCCAAATATGAATCAACAAGATGTCTAGGTGGATAAAGTTTCCAACTTTATCCATAATAATGCAACAATCTTCCAAGATCTAAACTTTAATACACCAAAATGACCTAAAGGGCCAAGATAACTAGCATGGCTAAAAGGGAAGGCAAAAGATCACAACTTTCCTAGTCCATGAGGTCCAAGAAGCATTCTAAACACATAAAGAGATATTGGAGTCAACTCAACTCCAAAATCACCCATAAAATGGACCAAAAGTGCCAAAAAAAAAAACCCAAATTACAAGTTCTAATAAAGTAGATAGCAATACTGGAACTTTATACTCACAATGGTCCAAAAATGTATGCCTTCTAAAATTGACAAGTTCTACTTCAAGGGCTATATTGTCTTTTCAGCAATCCAGTTCTAAATTGATTGTTTTGGCTCTTAAAAGGGTGCCAAGTCTAAAATGTTTGTTTCACGTCTAAAAAGGGGACCAAGTCTAAAATGGGTGTTTTCAGGTCTAAAAAAGGTTTGTTCCTGAAATGTAAATATTCCATTCTTGAAGGACCAAATTAGCCAAATTGCTAAAACCTTTTTGCTTTTAACCTCAATTTAACGTTGGATTTTTAAGAGAGAGAAAGTGTTTTGAAGACTTCTTCTTCTTCCCCCTTTTAGGATTGATACTTTCGAGGGTTTCAACCCTTTATCACCAAATCATTATAGCTTATTATAATATCTTGAATCAAGCTCTATAAACACTTCAATATTTGAGTGGATTGGTTCTCGGCTTTATCCGCCCATGGTTTTTTCCCGATTTCGGTTTTCCACGTAAACCTCTATGCCTCTTTGATTTGCTTTTTGATTTGAATTTTTCATTGCATGTGATTGATTGTGGTTTGATATTTTTAGTCCTATTCTATTTGAACTAATATGGTTCTCGTAATTTAGATTTCTGGGTTGTTTGATGCATTAGGGCTTTTTAGTTTTAGTGCATCTTACCCTCTTTGTTTACTACAATATCTATTAAGGTTACAATGCCTTTGAGAAAGAGAGATGATGAAAATACGAAAGCTAATCCTCTATTTAAAGAGAGGGGTGTCAGTGAGATATGCACTATGGCAAATACTTAGGCACCAAGGTTATCTTGTAAAGAAACTCTTCCTTGCTAAGTAAATAATAAAATCTTCTTTATTAAGCAAAGAAGATAACATCGTTATTAAAGACTTTTGGAGGCATGTTTCTCAACATCACACCTTCTTTTTATTAGTTTTTTATAAGTATGTCTTACATATTTTGTTACAGTAACTTATAATATATTATTATACAATAAGGAGCCCATTCCCCTAAAAGAAGAAAATAGATTTCAGTGTAAACCCCCTTCTGCTTTCCATACAATTGATTCAGTAACTTTTTTGGGGATGATTTATGAAAAAGGAAAGGGTATGTGCAAATAAGAGATATCATAAGGTAAGGGTGAGAAGTGGTAAATAAACATGATGTAGATTAGACAAAGATGAGAAAGGCACATATAGGTTAAAGGTGAGGGGTGGGGTATTTACTAATAATAAAAGATTAAATAAAATCAAATAAATTGTAAGAAGTATATCAAAAGCCCAAATTAATCATTTCACAATTCATTTTGGTAAGTTAACAAAATCACAATGAAACCTTTTCATAATACATTTTTTGCAAAACTCACAATGAAACCTTTTCATAATACATTTTTTGCAAAACGAAAAAAAAGGGATCCAATCCAAAGAAAATGACGAACCAAATGCCATTTCTACAGTTTGCGCTTATTTTATTATTTTAAATACTTGATGTTTAAATTAAATTTTCAAATAACATCCACGAAAAATAAAACAATCACCCATGAATCTTGACTTTTAGCATAACAGTATAAAACCGACATAAAAATTAATACTAAAAAAATAAGTGCAGTGGTCTCTTGAGATTACTTTATGGTGTTAATCCATCCCAAAATATTAATCGTGAGAATTGTAGCATCTTCACACAAACTCAAAAAAAATGGTAGCAACACCGCCTTCTTTGATGCAGACAACTGAGTTATCAAGTGTCCAGTGTGCTGAAACAATCCACGCATTTCGTCCAACCATCCAAGAATGGGGTGATTCATGGATTTCGTGCAATCACGCCTATTAATATACTTTTTCGTAATTTGTGCCATCATGAGATAATTATCTAATTTTGCTTTCATTTTCTTATGCTTAAACACTCCCATAATTGCCTTAAGGTTCCATTGTAATTTCCACGCCCAGTGCATCTCAACGTATGGTTTGCTATGTACATCCCTCTGAGCCTGGTAATCCTCGCTATTTCTATTTTGCTTACACTCCTCTAGCAATATCCCCAAGTGTTTTACAAATACTTGTGCTGATGCCATATTCTCCATAGCTGTAATCTCCTGCAACGTTTTCATGATCATCATATAACCGGTTCATGTTACAATGTTGCATATTTTGGTATGGTTATGCATGTGCATAAACTAGAGAAAAGGATAAACCGAATATTATATTGGCACTGTGTAAATACCTCACATGAGACCATTGGGAAGATGGGGATTGGAGAAGTATCATCATCGTCTTTTATTTCAGTACACATAGTTACTTCCTCTTGTGCCCGCACCTCCAAGTATACCTTTACTACCGGTTTTATTGTAAACTTCAGAATCTTTGTGTTAGCAAACGCACAAGCTTTATGTGGGACTAGTTTCATGGACTCTGCAGAAAATTACGTACAGATCAATGTGATCTTAGTAACCGTGTATGTGTGTGAGAATGATAAGTAAAAAAAAACTCGAGAATGTCAAATTGAAAAAATCAATGATTCTAATTGATTCTTGAGTATTGAAAACCTTTCTAATTAAATTAAATGGATTTAGTTACGGATAAGTAATTGTGATTCTCATCAAAACCATTGATTCTTTTGATCTATACTCCAGATTGATTCTTACACTCACACAATATTTGTGATTATCAAAAATAAACTACTACACACACACACACACACACAGAGACACACAACATAAAAGTATGGAGGGGTGCAAGAACTCTTGATATACCTTCCTTTGTGAAAAGAGACACTGCAAAAGATAAAACAAAAGGAAATTAGATGACCAATACCTTGAGAATCCCCAAGTTAAGTGTAAGAAACTTGACACTATTGAGCTGTTGAAGCAAACAAACTATACTATGAGTTTCTGCTTTGTGTGGATCGTACATAAAGAGTTCAACCTTCTCCAAAAAATGGAAGCAGGTTGAAAACCTTCTATGACCAAGGAGGTAAGGTCAGGTGCAGAAATCAGATGCTCCCCTTCGCACCTTATAATTGTGAGATTCTTTAGTTGAGGTGTAACCACATTCACAACCTCCTCTAATTCTATATCAGGGGGTGTAGATACAAGTGTCAGATCAGAAAGTCGAGGATGACAGATATTTAAAACTTTGGTTTCCGTCACTCTGCACCGGTTCAAGGAGAGGTTCTTCAAGTTGGTGCACTTGGAGAAAAGACCAATATCATCATAATCAGACAGTTCGACTTGGTGAAGATGCAAAGTCGTTAAAGCTGGGAGGTCCCACTTCGGTGTCGCAATAAAGGAATATGGGCATTCAACTATATTCCCTCCAGGCAAACGTGTAACACTCAGTTGTTGGAGACTGTGAGAGAATTTGCAGCTGAGAATTCTTGTGACAGATTCATCGTCCCTAACTGTTCTGTCAAGAACGAGATTGACTGAAGAATTTACTTGATTATCACGGTGTAAGAGAACATTAGAAATAAAATTGGAAAAGTGGCACTCATTATTGAGATTCTCAAAATTCAAATAGGGCATTGATGTCCAGATAAACCTCCATCTAGATGACAATACACTAGTGCTAATTGCATCTTTGATGTTGAGCAGGATTTTATGAATTAGTTTATCTGGCAAGCTGCTTAACCTATCGCGTTCTACATCCACTGCATCTTTTCTTGTAGATTTGAAAAGATCATTAAGCATTCTTATTAGCTCCATAATCCCTGCATTTGAATACAATGCAACAATAAGGACATACAAAACAAACCAACCAAATTCTAAAATACTAACATAAGGTTCGTAATGAATTATATCTACAAGATATGTGTGTTGCTTTTAAGTAGTCAAAACCAGGACGAAAATTAACATTGAAAAAATCACTATATTAACCAACAATTAGTCGGCTAATTTCATTCTAAAGTCTAAACAATTAGGTATGTAACAAAGAAATTCCAAGTTTCCTCTGTTCCAACAATTAACAAAATCACAAATTAGGTTAATAATGCAGCTATAAACTTGTTCAAACAAATTCACAATCCACATTGGTTCTCAATATACTAATTAGATTTAAAAAAAAAAAGTTTAGAATTTTGTATACTCACCGCAAGAGAATGGAGGATTGGGAGATAGAATCATTTAGCGAAGACAAGATCAGAAGACTAGATGTGTTGTGGGTAAAAGAAGTAGAAAAACGAGAGCAACGAGGAAGGGGAAGCCAGCCTTAGTTGTGTCGTCTGTCGGTGTAGATGGCACCGAAAGGTAAACAAGTACGGGTGGGATGGAGGCGAAGTTTTGGTGTCAGCAGCGTAAACCAATCATGAATGTTTACAAGCCCTTCGCTTTTGAAGTGGTTTTAGTTGAGATAATTACAAAATTTAGTCAAATTTTTTTAAGACTAAACTGCAAATTTGGTCCGGTGATTTGTCAAAAAAATGTAAATGAGATACAAAAAATTTATGGCTTGGATCATTGGTTTAAAATAAAATCTTTTTTTTGTTGTTTTAGTCCCTCATAAATTTAAAATAACTTGTAAAAACTAAAATACCCTTTTAATTTTTTCTTTTTTTACATTTTGTAATATTCACTTTAACATTTTTATAATAAAAAATAAAACTAAAAATCTCATCCCATCTCTCTCAACAAAAAGTCAAAGACATTGGCAATCGTCATTTTCACACCACTCAACTCATAAAATTCACACCATCTCCACCATTCTTTCAGGTGAAGAGTTTTACAATGATGTTGGGCTTAAAGCTAATACAAAATTAAGACAAAACTGTAAAATTAGTCCTTGTGGTATTCAAAAAACTTTGGATAGGGTCCAAAAAGTTTTCAACTTGCATGGATGGTCCAAAATCAAAGTTTTTCTGGGTTTTTGGTCCCTGATACACTTGAAAAGTCGATTTTGCCCTTTTCATTTTTTTTCTATTTTCTTTATTTATTTTAGTATCTAAAAAATAAAATATAAAGTCTCTCTCTCATCAAACTCAACACTTTAGCTTTGCGAATCTGCATCTCAAATCAAATACAAAATCCTTTCTGTGTTTAAAAAATTTACTCATAGCAACACCAAATTCTTTTGACCAAGAGCCGATAATCATCACTCCATGTGAAGCTGCAATCAATAACCTGATGAATCCATCTCCTCCATTAATCAATCCATGTAACAAACACAAAATTAAAACACAGAAATTGAAAACATTAAAACCTGCAAGTCAAGAACAATCACTCACAAACTTATCTCCTCCTCTAACGAATCCATCCCCTTTGTTTTCTACAATTACATATATGAAATTGAACATGATTTACACCTGTGTTTTGTGTTTTTGTTCATTGAATCAAAATTGAAACTGAAGAAAATAAAAACACAGTGAAAAATAGAAATCGAAACACACATGCACAACCAAAATCAAAATCAAATTCAAACCTTTAACTTCCTCATCGAAATCATTTGTACCATAAGAATATGAAGATTGTTTAAAAACCTGGATTTTCTAACCCTAGTTTTGTACCATCGACGTAATCAAGCCATAGATAATTAGGCAATCGTAATTAGTGACTAAAATCAGACAACCACCAATAAAAATCAGCAATTGATATTGAAGGATGCTTCATTGTGTGATGAGTGGAATCGCAGATCTAGAGGAAAACGAAGACATAGGATCTTCGTCGCTTTTAGTGGCAAGTGGAATTAACGAGCAGCAAGGTAAGTTCTTCCAACAATTAAGCAACGTCGGAGGTGGAGGTTGGCCACCGGAAAAGATGAAGGAAAGGCTAGTGAAGATGGAGGAGTGTGGTGGGTAATTTAGGATAAGGTGGTTCGTGACGTTTGGGATGAGAGAGTATGGAGGAGTGTGGTGGTAGTGGTGAGCCTTTCTCAAACGCACAAATTCCGGTCATATCTTCGCCAGAGCTCAATCCACCATTTTCGTTTGTGTTGTGCTAATCTTCATCACTTTTTTCTTCTTCACTCTCTCATCTTTCTTTCCCAACAACGTTTTCGTCTCCTCTTATAATCTTCACCAATATCGTCAGTACCTCTCTCAGAGTCACCCTAAGTTTAACGAAAATGAGATTCAGAATTACCAAACACTATGGTTTAGATTGATGAAAATGAGAGAAGAAAGTAGATGAGGAAAATAGGAAGCGGGTGAATAGGAGAGAGAGTTAAAGATAGAGAAAAAAAAAGTCAAAGAGATAGAGAGAGAAAGAAGGGTGTAGGGTGTAGGGTATGAGATTTTTAATAATTATTAAAATATAAAAATAAATAAAGAAAATGTAAAAAATTAATAATAAGGGCAAAATATTCCTTTCAACTTTTTTAGGACCAAAAACCTAGAAAAACTTTGATTTTGAACATTCCATGTAAGTTGGAAACTTTTTAGACCCTATCCAAAAATTTTCGAATACATAGGACCAATTTTACAGTTTTGTCCAAAATTAACATACATCTAGAGCAAAGATATCCATGCTGAAACCTAATAACTAAAATCAAACCCATAAACTTCATCTTTAAATACCCACCCTTGTCCCCACCCACCGTATGCCCTTCTCTCTTCATTCCCCTTCCACCTGATTTTACACCTGATAAACTAGTGCTTCTGAAACCCTAAAAATTAAAGGAGATAGATAAATTTCATGATTGATTGTTGATGAAGGCAGATCTATGAAATCGAAAACACTGGCGGCTGATGAAGGTCAGCGGATGGAGACAAATTTCACGGTGGCTATAAGCAGGGACGTTGTGGATTAGAGATCTAAACAACCCCAACCTTGGAAAAAAAAAACCTTGAACTCGATTTTCAGATCCCACCTCCTATTATTTTTCAAAAATCTTTCCTTTCTTCTCCCATCATTACAAGGTCTTCGTTGAATAACTTACATCTAGATCGAGATTCACACGTGTTTGTTGAAATCATTCCTTTTCAGCACCGTTTTCTAGGCTTTTCTTCATCAATTTTTGCATCTGGAAATATTTCTACATCTGGGTTGATTTTTGGTTCTAAATCTGGAGCGATTTCCTAGTTTATTCATCAACAATTTATGGGTTTTGAGTTTTTCTACATGGACTCTGTGTATGTTCATCCTTTTGTGTGTTGAAGAAGATAAAATTAAAGAACTCATATATACTAGCACAAAAAAGGGAAGTTGGCTGCGTTTTGGATTATTTTTTAAGTAGGAAAAAAAAGTTTGATCGATGAATTGAGAGAATAAGAGATTAGGAGGGTGTCGGTGATCAGGAAGGAGGAAGGGAGCTCCTGCTCTAGCATTCTTTCTATATATATATATATATATATATATATATATATATATATATAATCATCTGATAACTTATAGTTTTGGAGAACCCGAAAACCAAACCGTTAGCTCAAAATAATAGAAAGTCAAAATAATAGAAAGTTAAGATGATTTGTGGCATTATTGTAAAAACTTAAAAAAAAAAAAGAATCACACGGGCATCTGATTTAAATTAATTGGAGGGGGATAAGAACTTATTTGGTCAAACCATTTCCTTATCCTTTTTCCCCTTCAACTCGTCTCTCTCCTGTTCATCCAACTTTCAACTATCTCTCATCAGACCATTTTTTAAGTAGGAAAAAAAAGTTTGATCGATGAATTGAGAGAATAAGAGATTAGGAGGGTGTCGGTGATCAGGAAGGAGGAAGGGAGCTCCTGCTCTAGCATTCTTTCTATATATATATATATATATATATATATATATATATATATATATATATATATATATATATATATATATATATATATATATATATATATATATATATATATAATCATCTGATAACTTATAGTTTTGGAGAACCCGAAAACCAAACCGTTAGCTCAAAATAATAGAAAGTCAAAATAATAGAAAGTTAAGATGATTTGTGGCATTATTGTAAAAACTTAAAAAAAAAAAAGAATCACACGGGCATCTGATTTAAATTAATTGGAGGGGGATAAGAACTTATTTGGTCAAACCATTTCCTTATCCTTTTTCCCCTTCAACTCGTCTCTCTCCTGTTCATCCAACTTTCAACTATCTCTCATCAGACCATCTGTGTTCCATAATCTACAGATCATCGACGAGGAATCAAAGAATCAACAGGTCGACGTTGTCTTATGGATCAACAGATCGGTGACATTCTGATCATTCCATCTCGATTGTCTACACCTTCCACCTTGATAATGGATGCCATCGTTGTACTCCTCACCTTTCCTATGCCATCGTTATGGTTTTCGCTGATCTTTCACACATCTATACGAATCTCATCCGGAAACCTTCTTACAAAGCTTTGTTCAACTCGGATGATGAATCAACAGACGAAGTGATGCTCCGTTAGTTCAAGAAAGAGGTGAAAGAGCGGATTAATGTAAATCAATCGGTGGTGGATCGACGAATTACTCTTCGTCACGTCATACTGAAAACGATCTCCAGCAGAGCCAGACGATAGCGTCGTTGCCGCCTCCATCAGATGGCTCCATCAGGTGGCTTTATGTGCTATTTGGTTCATACATTTAAGATAAAGGATAATGGAACATGATAGGTTCTCAAAATCTTATATAATCGATCGATTTCTAGTGTTTAATCTTCAATATGTTTGTGCTGGATTTCTCTTCTTCATATGTTATTTCATTTATACATGACAAAGGATAATAGTGTTTGAAATCTCATATAATCAACAAAATTATACTGTTTTGGTGTTTGTTGTTGGTTTGAACTTTGAATGATATCTTCACTTCCACCACGTCTCCTAATCTTGACTTTGTTAATGAGCAGGAAGATGTAAACTTCTTGTTGAAGATCGGAGGTGGATCCTTGGCAGGTGCAACAACCATTAAGTTCGGCATCATACTTGTGCCATAGATCACACACCTAAACATCACTAAAGTTGTCATTATATCGGATTGTTGAAGCATGTGATGAGACTGTCGATGACTAGCTTAAAAGCTACAGGTGTAAAAGATGTTGTTTCTTTTGTAACTGCCATTACAAATACAAAACTTAAAGCTGAGAAAGAGGTTGTTGCTGGTAAAAAGTAGACATATATCTCATCTCTATTGCTTTTCTGATAAACTAAAGTGGCAAATCAATCATCCAAACCATACCATACATTCTGTTTTCTGCAATTAGCATGCACTTTTTTTAATATATGTTTTATTATTATCTATAACAGGGGGAAAGATGATGATTCAGTTATAAATGTTGGATATAATAAATATGATGACTTTGATTTCATGTGATGCATATGTATATGTTTTGATTGGTTTCTACATCAGTTGCTCTTTTTGGATGCTTTATTTATTAATGTTTTTATCAGGTGAAGATATA